TTGTTATAGACTCAGCTACTTGGAACAAGTTCCAAGAAGCACGGGCTATGGCGAGCCCGTAACTTATCTCGCACGGGAGCGGGGCAAGTAGCACGGGCTAGGGTGAACCCGTAGTGGACTTACCTGGCACAGGGGCGGTGTGTGGGGCTGTTAGACAGACTAATAGCTATATTGACCTTAAGACTAGGCCTATGTCAGAATGGGACGAGGGGAGCCATTCAGTTCCATGGCTTCTGGGACAAATAACTTATCGACTGATGAAGATTAGGCCACCACAAGAGCATGAACTTGACCTCCGGGCATGAATAGCCCGTAGGCGGTGTAGACATTTGGAGTGAATGTGGTCTTTAGTCGTGTAGAATCTTCAAGTGTGTCTGAGTCCCTGCTTTGCCTGGACGGTAGAGAGCGACGGTCCCACTTCATGCAGGTCGGAGTTCAATTCCCGACAGTCCAAGTGGTTGGGCCACAATTCCTTTCCCTCTGTCCCATCCTAAATCCTTATCCTGACCCTTTCCAAGTGCTGTATAGTCGTAATGGCTTGGCGCTTTCCCCCTGATAGTTCCCTTCCTTCTGGATCCCTACGACGATCGGCATATGCTGTTCTTATATATATATATATATCATATACTGCTTTGGTATACCTAGAATATGCATCTTGCATGCGTAGCATATTCTATTCTTGTATGTATACCGTATGTTCCTCTCGAATACTTAGCAATCTACTATTCCTGTATAAGTAGCATATAGGTTGTTCATGCAAGTATACCTATATCTTGCTCTGTATACGAAGTAAATGCTGCTATTGTATACATAGCATATGCTGCTCTTCAGTATATAGCATATTCTGCCCATGTATACATAGCATATGCTGCTCTTGAGTGAATAGCATATTCTGCCCGTGTATACATAGCATATGTTGCTCCTGAGTGTATAGCATATTCTGCCCGTGTATACCTAGCATAGACTGTACTTACAAATATAGTATATGCTGCTCTTGTATGTTTAATGATATGCTGCCCTAGTATACACAACAAATGCTACTCATGTATACGAAGCAGAAGCAAGTCTTGTATACATATGCTGTTCCTGTCAGTATAGCATATGCTGCTGTTATATACGCAAGGAATGGAACCCAGAAGGCCCGTTGATCCAAGTCAACACTCGACCATCTGGCCAGACGAAGTAGTATACTATTTGAACAAATCCACAAGGGCCGTGACGAGGGTTCGAACCTGCATCCGGGAGCATCCCAGTCGCTGCCTTAATCGACTGAGCTACGACACGGTATAAGAATTGCAACCAGAAATTCTACTGAATTTACTTGGATCCTGCAGCCTCTCCGAGACACAAACCTACCGAACCACTGGCTCTGGACGGTAGAGCGACGGTCTCGCTTCATGCAGGTCGGCGTTCAATCCCCGACCGTCCAAGTGGTTGGACACCCATTCCTTCCCCCCCCCCCCCCCGTCCCATCCCAAATCTTTATCCTGATCCCTTCCCAGTGCTATATAGTCGTAATAGTTCCCTTCTCCCTTCCGAGACACAAACCAGGATTTTACACAACTCCACCCCAGGCACACGAGCTATGTCAATAGGCCGTTCTACCTCTTCGCCCTTACTTCATTACACTGTTCATTTGATACATCACGCTATTGTGATTCCTGTGTGTAATAGAATACTATTTCTCACCGAGGTCATAAATAGACTATGGGAGAGGTGGGAAGGAATAGGGGGGGTAGAGAGAGAGAGAGAGAGAGAGAGAGAGAGAGAGAGAGAGAGAGAGAGAGAGAGAGAGAGAGAGAGAGAGAGAGAGAGAGAGAGAGAGAGAGAGAGAGAGAGAGAGAGAGAGAGAGAGAGAGAGAGAGAGAGAGAGAGAGAGAGAGAGAGAGAGAGAGAGAGAGAGAGAGAGAGAGAGAGAGAGAGAGAGAGAGAGAGAGAGAGAGAGAGAGAGAGAGAGAGAGAGAGAGAGAGAGAGAGAGAGAGAGAGAGAGAGAGAGAGAGAGAGAGAGAGAGAGAGAGAGAGAGAGAGAGAGAGAGAGAGAGAGAGAGAGAGAGAGAGAGAGAGAGAGAGAGAGAGAGAGAGAGAGAGAGAGAGAGAGAGAGAGAGAGAGAGAGAGAGAGAGAGAGAGAGAGAGAAAGAGAGAGAGAGAGAGAGAGAGAGAGAGAGAGAGAGAGAGAGAGAGAGAGAGAGAGAGAGAGAGAGAGAGAGAGAGAGAGAGAGAGAGAGAGAGAGAGAGAGAGAGAGAGAGAGAGAGAGAGAGAGAGAGAGAGAGAGAGAGAGGAGAGAGAGAGAGAGAGAGAGAGAGAGAGAGAGAGAAGAGAGAGAGAGAGAGAGAGAGAGAGAGAGAGAGAGAGAGAGAGAAAGAGAGAGAGAGAGAGAGAGAGAGAGAGAGAGAGAGAGAGAGAGAGAGAGAGAGAGAGAGAGAGAGAGAGAGAGAGAGAGAGAGAGAGAGAGAGGGGGGGGGGGGGCTAGGAAGGGGGTGCAGCAAGTGTTGGTGGTACCATCTTCTTCTTCCTCCTCTTCTTCTACCTCTCATCTTCACTACATTCCTGATGCTCGACTCAATCAGCAGGTGGAACAGGTGAGGTGTTCATTACTGGTGGTGTTGGAGTGGTATTTCTGCATGATATCACGTCGGTCAACCAGTGAAGGGTGATGGAGTATGTTGAACCACACACACACACACACACACACACACACACACACACACACACACACACACACACACACACACACACACACACACACACACACACAACTGGGGGGCCTGGTAGCCTGGTGGATAGCGCACAGGACTCGTAATTCTGTGGCGCGGGTTCGATTCCCGCACCAGGCAGAAACAAATGGGCAAAGTTTCTTTTACCCTGAATGCCCCTGTTACCTAGCAGTAAATAGGTACCTTGGAGTCAGTCAGCTGTCATGGGCTTCTGGTGTGTGTGTGTGTGTGTGTGTGTGTGTGTGTGTGTGTGTGGTGTGGAGAGAGGAAAAAAAATAGTAGTTAGTAAACAGTTGATTGACAGTTGAGAGGCGGGCCGAAAGAGCAAAGCTCAACCCCCGCAAACACAACTAGGTGAATACAACTAGGTGAATACACACACACACACACACACACACACACACACACACACACACACACACACACACACGTCAGTGTATGCATGTGTATATGACTTTTTATTTTCCGTAAACATGTCTTTTCTGTTAATTCCTTGCATGTCGTTGTTGTTGTTTTAGATTCCGCTACACGGAACAAAAAGGTACAAGTAGCATGGACTATGGTGAGCCCGTAGTGGACTTACCTGGCACAGTAGCGGGGCCGTAACTGGTTAAGCGATTGTTACGCGATCCTTAAGTTCCCTTTGGCTCTCCCATTATTTCCCTTCCCAAGACCGGCAGTGTGAGGATAAGCCGAATCTTGAGATTGGTGTTAAGACACGATTGTAAACGCTTTTTGCCGCGTGATTGGTGATCAGCGAGACGCCAGGTGTGTCTCTGACGCAATATTGAAATTGAAATTGAAATAAGTTGATTGAGGTAAAATACACACCAAGGGATGAGGTAGCTCAAGCTATCCTCACCCCGTGACGCAGTATGAGCCTCTCGCTACACCAATCAGTAGAGTAATAAGCTCCTCCATCTTTATTAACAATTACGTTAATAAACGTATATTTGTTCACGTTTGTTGTTTATGTTAAAACTTTACTGACCATTGCCACGCTAATCTGCAGGAATTATTGTCCCAAGTGACCAGTTCTAAGCTCCAGACTAATTAAGTCCGTCATGAATCGATTTGAGGTAGACGGACCCGAGGAGGGAGCCTTATGCGTGTGTGAGATCCTCCTGGACGTAAGTTCGAACCCTCATCACGGCCCATGTGGATTTATTCAGCTTGATTCCAGTTCTAGGCGGAGGTGACCAATAAGGACCTCCCCACAGTTGGACCCCTTATCCGGTAAAGTGCACCCCGGGATTACGGACGCCTTGCTCACGTCTTAGTTGGTTAAGCGGAGGCATTTGCGTGCAACATTGCACACAGTTGCAAGCATGACTAAGTAAAATCGACGCTTTATCCATGCTCTCCGTTCAGTGCTGGGGATGTTCTTCGGGTCTCCTGGCGATTTTTTTGGCTCTTTGTTTAAGAACGTGAAGACAAATGACATTTGAATTCTAAGTCTGTCCATCTTAACCATCTATATTCTATCATCCCATATCCACCATCCACATTACGACTTACCTAGTCGCTTGTTCATAAACCAGTTCATAAACCATTATGCTTACTCATTCATCAATCCAGCTATCTGTTCTTCATTAGTTCTTCATTCTTCTTTAATCCAGCAAACTCATTCACACATTCACCAAACGTACCCATCCCATAAACCACATTTAACCCAGCCCCCGTCCCACCCTTTCCCTCCCTCTTCCACATTCTGATCCCATCCAATAACCTATCCATAAATCCTAGCCCACTCTTAACGAACAGTAGTTGAAGAGACGACCATATCGGATCGAATCGTCCCATCCAGAATCAATAAGTGTGACGTACCATAAAGGGTTTCAGTGACAGCTTATCGTATTGGCCTCCTCCTAGCTGGCCAAGATCTTCGTATACGTATCTTCCTCAGCATCACTTGCCTCTGTGGCTCTATCAAGGAGAAAAGAGTAGGAATAGCAGAATAAAGAGCAACAGAGTGAGTATAAAGGTAGAATATGATGAATAGGTAGAGAAAACGAGGTGAAAGGCTAAGGGAAATGAAAAAAATTTATATGTAGGATGAAAATTATGAGGACAGGTGGAGCCTGAGGACATATTAATGTGATAATGGTTGCTTCATTGTCTCCTGGACACCATCCGGCTTCTCTGCCCCCAGGTCATCGTCCGGCCTCGCTGTCTCTAGGTCATCGTCCGGCCTCGCTGTCTCTAGGTCACCGTCCGGTCTCGCTGTCTCCTGGTCACCGTCCGGCCTCGCTGTCTCTAGGTCATCGTCCGGTCTCGCTGTCTCTAGGTCATCGTCCGGCCTCGCTGTCTCAGGTCACCGTCCGGCCTCGCTGTCTCTAGGTCATCGTCCAGCCTCGCTGTCTCCTGGTCACCGTCCGGCCTCGCTGTCTCTAGGTCACCGTCCGGTCTCGCTGTCTCCTGGTCACCGTCCGGCCTCGCTGTCTCTAGGTCATCGTCCAGCCTCGCTGTCTCTAGGTCATCGTCCAGCCTCGCTGTCTCTAGGTCACCGTCCGGCCTCGCTGTCTCTAGGTCACCGTCCGGCCTCGCTGTCTCTAGGTCATCGTCCGGCCTCGCTGTCTCTAGGTCACCGTCCGGCCTCGCTGTCTCTAGGTCACCGTCCGGTCTCGCTGTCTCTAGGTCACCGTCCGGTCTCGCTGTCTCTAGGTCACCGTCCGGTCTCGCTGTCTCTAGGTCACCATCCGGCCTAGCTGTCTCTAGGTCACCATCCGGCCTCGCTGTCTCTAGGTCACCGTCCGGTCTCGCTGTCTCTAGGTCACCGTCCGGTCTCGCTGTCTCTAGGTCACCGTCCGGCCTCGCTGTCTCTAGGTCACCATCCGGCCTCGCTGTCTCTAGGTCACCATCCGGCCTCGCTGTCTCTAGGTCACCGTCCGGCCTCGCTGTCTCTAGGTCACCGTCCGGTCTCGCTGTCTCTAGGTCACCGTCCGGCCTCGCTGTCTCTAGGTCACCGTCCGGTCTCGCTGTCTCTAGGTCATCGTCCGGCCTCGCTGTCTCTAGGTCACCGTCCGGCCTCGCTGTCTCTAGGTCACCGTCCGGTCTCGCTGTCTCCTGGTCACCGTCCGGCCTCGCTGTCTCCTGGTCACCGTCCGGCCTCGCTGTCTCTAGGTCATCGTCCGGCCTCGCTGTCTCTAGGTCACCGTCCGGTCTCGCTGTCTCTAGGTCATCGTCCGGCCTCGCTGTCTCTAGGTCATCGTCCGGTCTCGCTGTCTCTAGGTCATCGTCCGGCCTCGCTGTCTCTAGGTCATCGTCCGGCCTCGCTGTCTCTAGGTCATCGTCCGGTCTCGCTGTCTCTAGGTCATCGTCCGGCCTAGCTGTCTCCTGGTCACCATCCGGCCTCGCTGTCTCCTGGCCACCGTCAACCACAGGAGGATCGCCCCATCAATACCACACAAGAGATAATCACTCACCCACAACAAGCTGGAAAAGTCCAGCCAGCGCTTAATGCCTCTCGCAGCTGCTTGGCAGGTGGAATAAAATTGTGAATTTTGTCCAGCCACTTCCACAACAGTTCAGTTGGAGGTGCCCAAAGGCTAGGAGAGGGGGGGGGGCTCATTACGACCCTGGAGTCTAAAGGCTAGATGCCTCATTAATTAAGACTCTGATGGACGCACCAGAAATAATTCTCTCTCTCTCTACCTCCTCTTAATAACACGAGCAAATATTTCCCAGTTAATTTGTTAATTAGTTCACTGCTGTATAATTAGCATCAGCTGATTTAGAATTAGGTGGCGAAGGGTATAATCAGAGGATTTAATTTTGCAAAAATAGGGTAGGTGTTGGGGGCGTGAATACGACGTTGATGCATCAGGCTGTAAAGCATTTATTACTTGGCTTTAACCTCTATTCAGAAACATTGTAACGAAATATTATCCAAACTGCTCATTTGCTTCGTTAGTATAACGTGCGGTATGAACCACGGGTACGAATACAATAGCGAATGTCTATACTCAAAAAAACTCTGATCTAGTAAATATTACACGATATTTAAAGTTGTAAACTATATTAAGTCAATTGAGAAAATCAAATGGAACAATGAGGTGACTGGAACCAGCGATCAGGATGGCGTCAGTTGCGCACCTTACCCCTGTCTGAATAAGCCACTTATAATTTATTCATTTATTATCAATAAGACTTTACGAAGTCTGCCGAAGGTGGAGACATTGACTAAGCAAGCAAATTTGTCTTTGTTTAGCGAAGAAATAACAAAACTAAGTCAGGTCATCTTATCTGTGAATATCAGTTTAACACAGCGAGGAGTGTTGTTGTATCAACACTCATGTCATGTATATGTATCATGTCTCCTCTTTTCACAGGGAACCACACCATAACTGGTCTGATCCCCCGCAATGTACCATCCAGAGTGGTCTGACCCCTTCCCACCATACAGTGTACCTTCCAAAGTGGTCTGAACCCTCATCCTCCCCACACAGTGTACCATCCAACGTGACTGACCCCCACAATGAACCATCCAATGTAGTCTGACCCCCTACAGTGCACCATTCAAAGTTGACATAACCACAATAGACTACCATACAATGCGATTTGACCTTCCCAGTGAACCATGCAAAAGGGTTTTACCTCCATAGGGAACCATCCAATGGGACCCATATACCAGACTTCCACATGGAACCACTCAGAGCCCTGGAAACACAAACCGAAACTGTCTCTATTTTCCGCTTGTTACAACTTGTAATAAAGTTGTTACATCTTGGCTTAACGTGTTTATGACGTATTAGAACGTTGTTACAACTTGCTATATTGGTTGTTATAACTGGTTAGGAGGCGTTAAAATTTGCTCGAACGTTGTACCAACGTCGTAGTTTCGGTGTGTGTTTGGCGGGAGAGGTCTAATCTTAACTTCCCACCTGAGACATATGGTCCTCCTCGCTATATATCTGGTAGTGACGTTGTCAAGAGAATAGATAATGGATTGCGATTACAACCCCCTCGTTTGTCATTCATCATCACTGCCTTATTCGTTAATATTTTAAACATTCTAGCGAATTACCTATAAACGTCTGCCAAAACTTTGGATAATACACTTACATATGTGAGTGAGTGCAGGCTAACCTACACTCACATGTGTGTATTGGGCTGACCTATACTTACATGTGTGAGTATGGGGCTGATCTACACTCACATGTGTGAGTACAGGATACAAAGGGCTGACCTGCATATACCCATCACATCTCTGAATATACCAAACCCTCACAGCAATGTAAATTACAGTAGCAACGGGCCTCCATTTTATGCAAATCAAGTCAACGCTTCTGGAGTGGGTGTATAGCGACCACTGCATCACAATAACCACACCTTCAGTTAGAGTAGGGCAGGGTTTGGTTGGGTAGGGTATGGGTAGGGTAGGTTCTGGCCGTCCTCACGATTGGAGAAGCATCATATAAGTAACCTACTATTGGGGTCTCTCCAGACAGGACTCTCTTTAACTGCTGGGTCACTCATCTCTGTCAGAGCACACAGCTACTCTTCCTGTGGATTGTGGAGCATAGACAATGGCTTCACACAGGCCCGCTGATGCTGGTAGCAGGCAATTCGTCGTAGATTTTTTCCGAATTACCGGAAAAACAGGCAGATGGTTCTACAATTATCTGATTATCAGAGTCCGCTGTGTAATAGTCAACAAAATAAAATCCGATCAATCAACCGTGAAGAGCTCAGTCCCCTAGGGTACTGTGTTTGCTCCAGTACTTTCTCAGCCTCATATCTGACATAGACAAGGACACAATCTATAGTGCTGTATCTTCCTTTGCAGATGACACTTGGATTTTTATACGAGTAGACTACATAGAGGACACGGCAAACCTCCAATCAGATGTAAATAAGGTCTTTCAATTGGCTACAGAAAACAATATGGTGTTTAACGAAGATAAGTTCCAGTTCATGCGCCTCGGAAAAAAATTAAAATATAAATCGGAAACCACGTACAAAACGCAGTCAAAACATAACATAGAACGAAAGCAATGTAAAGGATCTGGGTTTACTCATGTCGGAAGACCGTACCTTTAAAGAACACAATAAAGTAGCCGTCACAACTGCAAGAAAAATGACAGGTTGGATAACAAGAACTTTTCACACTGGAGATGCTGTACCGATGATGATACTTTTCTAGACGCTTGTGCTCTCTAGAGTGGAGTACTGCTGCACAATGACAGCCCCTTTCAAAGCTGGAGAAACTGCTGTCCTAGGGAGCGTGCAGAGATCCTTTACTGCTAGAATCCAATCAGTAAAACATCTAAATTTCTAGGACCAACTATATTGCCTAAATCTGTATTCTCTTGAGCGCAGGCGGGAGAGATATATAATAATTTACATATGGAAAATAGTAGAGGGGCTGATCCCAAACCTGCACACAGAAATAACACCACATGAGACCAGAAGGTATTGCAGGATGTGCAGAATACCCCAGTTGAAAAGCAGAGGTGCAACAGGTACTCTGAGAGAGAACTCTATCAACATCAGAGGCCCGAGACTGTTCAACACGCTTCCACTACACATAAGGGGCATAACTGGCCGACCTTTCACAGTGTACAAGAGAGAACTTGACAAGAACCTCCAAAGGATACCTGATCAACCAGGCTGTGACTCATACGTCAGACTACGAGCCGCTGCGTCCAACAGCCTGGTTGACCAGTTTAGCAACGAGGAAACCTGGTCGAAAACCGGGCCACGTGGACGCTAAACCCCGAAACCATCTCAAAGTAACCTCAAGGTAACGGTAGATAGCTAGCTGGAGTGGCAGATCTGGTCACCAGGAGCAGACTGTCACCTCGTAGCGATGTCATGCCATCACCTCTTTACTTCTAAGTACTATTGGGCCGTCGTACATACCATCTTTGGGCTGAAACCCAAGACAAGGCTGAAGGAAGGCTGGGCGCATCTTGCTTCTTCCAGATCCGGACAGTGAGTGGCTCTCCCTGCCAGTGACACAAGCTGACCATGTCTGATCGCCCTCTCCCATTGGCTACCACTCAACGTCATCTTCTTACGTCACATTTCACATGTGCCCAAGAACCTTCTCGAAGGTTTCCCATACCTGGTTGAATATTAGCGACCAGTAGAGATCGACTGAAATATATTAGACGATCTACCAATGTCTCGCCTGACCCCCATCCCCACATATACCAACAACCAAAACTTCCTAAACACGGATGAGGAGGGAAATAACTCTCAGGGTAGATGCTGTGTATTTTGTGTAAGAATGTGACTCATAGCGCGCAGGACTCGTAATTCTGTGGCGCGGGTTCGATTCCCGCACGAGGCAGAAACAAATGGGCAGAGTTTCTTTCACCCTGAATGCCCCTGTTACCTAACAGTAAAATAGGTACCTGGGTGTTAGTCAGCTGTCACGTGCTGCTTCCTGGGGGTGGAGGCCTGGTCGAGGACCGGGCCGCGGGGACACTAAAGCCCCGAAATCATCTCAAGATAACCTCAAGATAACCATAGCAGCAACCTAAGTTATCCCAGCCGATGTTCACCCTGACCGAGGGAGTACGAATATACCTTTCTTATTTGTACTTTCACTATGCCACCGGAGTTTCGAAAGCATCAACAGTGTCGGGTATCGTCTGTGAGAACAGGTTGTTATGACTGTGCTATTTTGCCGCTCCACACGTATGATTGAGAGCAGGATAAATCCTGCCAAGCTATATCACTATATTCCCGTGTAATGGAGAGCGGTGCGCACCACACCTCCCTACAGCGCTGCCTCCTACGCATTAAAGAAAATTACCTTGAGGAGCGTGACGTCTTGAAGCGCCATCACTTCATCTGTCTTAAACGGGCGATTACCTCCGGAGGTGAATTTCAGAGCATCGTGACCTGGAGAAAATCTTCCCAGCGTCCTCTCCTCCTTCTCTGGTAGTCTCATATATTTACATCTCTAAGTAATATTCTTCTTGTGATAAATGGGGCAAAATCTTTAGTCTTACGGGTGTCTAAGTGGCGCCAGTTTACGAGGACGGATTCTGATGCTCATGTATCACGATGAACAGACAGCATATAATATAGTATTATGCAATATATTTTATGCATCATATGGCCGTGATGGTGCGTCAGAGACCCCGAGGAGGTATAACCTGTCCCCACAACTCTCGAACAACACCATTATGTTGTAATTTAAGATCCTACAACAACAACCCTGTCCCCTTCCTCCTCCCCCCCCCCCCCCCAAAGTTCCACCCATTCATCCCCCTACCCTGGGCAAACCTCCTCGCCATGCGCATACTACGGACACGCCCACGTCACGGGCACGCTCCGGGCACGCTCTAGACACGCCCACCCCCCAAGCACGCCCACGACACGATACAGCTCTGAGGGAGGAGAGACCATAAATATAAGTGAATCGTAGTGAGAGGTAAGGTTTAAGACGGGCCTCGTCTTCACTATATTACGACGTCTTCGCCCCAAGTGCCACAAGAGCCACATAGTTGGTGCCAGGGTGAACATCATAGTGGGTGCCATAGCAGGCTCCCTAGCCAGTGCCACAGCCGGTGACAGAGCAACTGTCATAATGAGTGTCATAGTGAGTGCCGTATTGAGTCCCATAGCGAGTGTCATAGCAGTAGAAGGCTTAAGGAAGGAGGTAGGTTATGAGGGCAGTAATGAGGTGGTTATAATGGTGATAATGAGGGTTTTTGCTGTTATCTATTTTCCCCCTTAAAGTTGGCCATTCCTTAACAATGGTAACCAGCGTACGTATACATCATCGACTGTCGTACATGGACAGAATCAGAGATCTGTTCTACATATTGCGCAGCGGGTTAGCCACAGTATAGGGGATTGTGGTGCTTGTAGCAAGCTATAACCCAACCTACACACACAATTAAACATACGTTCATTAACATCTTTCCTACATAGGATTCGAGAGCTTTTGCCTCCTCTTGTGATGATGGAGGGTTTGCCAGAGTGCCAAACATGGTGCCAGGAAGACGAGAGAGGGAGGGGAATTAGGAGGGCGAGGGGGGGAGAAGGGGGGTAGTCTGTTCTAGCGTGAACGACAATAGGACAAGTTGACCAAGGAATTGGACACAGGAGACAAAAGGACACGACCCATTATGGTGACATGTCCCTGACAGACAGATAATAGACATTGGAGCATTTATATATATATATATATATATATATATATATATATATATATATATATATATATATATATATATATATATGTCGTACCTAGTAGCCAGAACGCACTTCTAAGCCTACTATGCAAGGCTAGATTTGCCTAATAAGCCAAGTTTTCCTGAATTAATATAATTTCTCTAATTTTTTTCTTATGAAATGATAAAGCTACCCATTTCATTATGTATGAGGTCAATTTGTTTTATTGGAGTTAAAATTAACGTAGATATACGACCGAACCTAACCAACCCTACCTAACCTAACCTAACCTATTTTTATAGGTTAGGTTAGGTTAGGTAGCCGAAAATGTTAGGTTAGGTTAGGTTAGGTTAGGTTAGGTAGGTTAGGTAGTCGAAAAAGCATTAGTTCATGAAAACTTGGCTTATTAGGCAAATCGGGCCTTGCATAGTAGGCTGAGAAGTGCGTTCTGGCTACTAGGTACGATATATATATATATATATATATATATATATATATATATATATATATATATATATATATTGTGACGATAATCTCTTTCAAGAGAGATTGAGCCTGCTCTTCCCTACAAAGTACGTCAATATACAAGATAATATAGAAGATACGTCCAGCAAGTATCGCCAAACGTTTTGCCCAGAGAGCAAATCGTACCCAGCACACAGTGACACCTGCTACCTACCACCACCGTAACCAGCAAACTGCTCATCCTTTGCCTGCCTGTCGCTGATTGGCTGGTGTCCCGTCGCTCCTGCCCTCCGCCTCCGCCACAAGTTGACGTCTGGGCTGCAGTGCGGCAATATCGTCAGAATATCTCAGTGCTCCAAGCAGTTGACATCTCTCGCTGGTAGACTAAGCCTTGGCTTTCGTGTACTAAGGGAGGTGGCAGCTCGAAGCCAATATTCCAGCATCACTAATAATTTATTTTTGCTATCACTGTAACCCACTTGTCTTAACGTAACTTTTCATTTGCCAGTGATTATTCATATTATTTTGTTTGTTGACTTGTCTTTCATATTTTATGTGCTTAACTTTATTCATGTCTTGTTTTTCTAAAGTAATTAAAATTTCATTGTTAATTTACTTGTGTGTCTTCCCATTACCTTACCACAGACGAAAGCTCCAGCTTTTTTTTTTTTTTTTATTATGTGACGAGGCCCTGCCCCTAGCTTTTGAAACAGCCGAACACCAATGCTTTACCGTCACAATATGTACATTATATATATATATATATATATATATATATATATATATATATATATATATATGATTTATACTTTATTGTGTATATATATATGTCGTACCTAGTAGCCAGAACGCACTTCTCAGCTTACTATTCAAGGCCCGATTTGCCTAATAAGCCAAGTTTTCATGAATTAATATATTTTCTCAAATTTTTTTCTTATGAAATGATAGAGCTACCCATTTCATTATGTATGAGGTCAATTTTTTTTTATTGGAGTTAAAATTAACGTAGATATATGACCGAACCTAACCAACCCTACCTAACCTAACCTAACCTATCTTTATAGGTAAGGTTGGGTTAGGTAGCTGAAAAAGATAGGTTAGGTTAGGTTAGGTAGGTTAGGTAGTCGAAAAACAATTAATTCATGAAAACTTGGCTTCTTAGGCAAATCGGGCCTTGCATAGTAGGCTGAGAATTGCGTTCTGGCTACTAGGTACGACATATATATATATATATATATATATATATATATATATATATATATATATATATATATATATATATATATATATATATATATATATATATATATATATATATATGGCACAACTCTCCTAAACACGAGAGTTAAGTATACAACTTTAGAACACTTTCCCACCAGGAGACTCGAACCCTAGCCAGCACAGAAGCCTTCCAGCAACTGGCATAACAGGTACGCCTTAACCCTCTGCACCACCGCTCAGACCCTTAAAAGAGATGGTAATTTCGGAGTATTTAAATACACCAAAGATCAACACCTCCCAAGAGCACCAGAGCAAGTGAGGGGTCATTTAGACGTTAATTTCATCAAGTCCCTGTTAATATGGGAAGACACAGTGTCTCTGCTTAAGGCACAACTCTCCTAAACACGAGAGTTAAGTATACAACTTTAGAACACTTTCCCACCAGGAGACTCGAACCCTAGCCAGCACAGAAGCCTTCCAGCAACTGGCATAACAGGTACGCCTTAACCCTCTGCACCACCGCTCAGACCCTTAAAAGAGTGAGTAAAATTACCATCTCTTTTAAGGGTCTGAGCGGGTGGTGCAGAGGGTTAAGGCGTACCTGTTATGCCAGTTGCTGGAAGGCTTCTGTGCTGGCTAGGGTTCGAGTCTCCTGGTGGGAAAGTGTTCTAAAGTTGTATATATATATATATATATATATATATATAATATATATATATATATATATATATATACATATATATATATATATATATATATATATATATATATATATATATATATATATATATTATATATATATATATATATATATATATATATATATATATTATATATATATATATATTCTTTTTTATTCCCCTTCTTTTATATATCTCCTTCTTCTCCCCTATATATATTTTCCCCTTCTTTTCTGCTTAGTCTTAAAAGAAATCACCGAAAGCTTGTCCAGCGAGTTCAACATCTGGTTTTTGGATGATGGCACTATAGCTGGCACCTGTAGACCACCTCTTGTCAGATATCAGGAAAATAATGGAGCAAGAAGCAGGCCTGGGTCTCGTCCTGAACCCTTCCAAGTGTGAAGTAGTCTCTTCCAACCCAGGCATCGTAGCTAGAATAAGGTCTGCCTTGCCTGGATCCCATTTCATTAGGGCCGAGAACAGCACCCTCCTTGGAGCCCCCCTCGGGTCTAACGCAATTGAGGAGATCCTTGACAAGAAGTTCCAATAGGGTCTGAGACCCTAGGCCCATGGGGAGAGAGTGCAAGAAGGTTTCTTAAGGATCTTGGTTCCAAGCTCATTGACACCACAAGAGACCCTAGAGCGGCTAGTTTTCTCTTTCAGCGCCTCAGTGTCGCGATCCAGAGGGAGAATGCTCGCTGCATCTTCGGTTCCTGCCCGGCGTCGGAGGAGTTCGAGGAAATCTACAGCCTCTAGGAAGCGAACTTTTTTGTGTGTCCTCTTAATGTTAATTTTTTGTATAAAATCAGATATGTAACTGTATAACCTTGCATAATAAAGTGTACACCATAAAAAGGGGGGTGGTAGGAGAAGCAAACACTCTTACGTATTCAGAGTTAAATGGCAAGTTTTTCCCTGAATGCTCTGTGTGTTCCCTTCTCTGAGGTTGTGGGTCCCTATAATTGCACCAGAGGTGGTACCCCCCTATATATATATATATATATATATATATATATATATATATATATATATATATATATATATATATATATATATATATATATATATATACCATTCGCTCTTATTAAACAAAAACAACGGTGTCACATAATCGTACCGGCTTGGTTCCTTCTTTTGTTATTAATACTTACTTCTCTACTACCAGTATACTGTTTTCTTCAGAAAACTGGACATGTGCTGCCCTATCATGCTCAAAAACGTTCCCGTGGCATTAAAATGCTAAAGGATTAAATTCACCGTTGTTTTTCCTGTAATATTTGTATAGGTAAATCAGCAATGATGACACGCAGGTCAGCCAGCTATTGCCACGAAACTGGTTTCAGTGTTAACTCAACCGGATCCAATAATTTAAGAGAAACTACTGGGGAGAAGGAAAATAATACGAGCCATTATAAACAGGAGAATCAAAGTGCGTTTACTTTACGCCTCTTTTGTGTATATGACTTCGTAACTCTCTCGCTATAATTTTGCAAATAACGAAGACATTAAATACATTCCAATGTATGACAGTGTCAGACCACGGAGGAAAATTGAAACCTGAATTTCCTTAAGTACCTTCGTATATTAATACATCTTTAGAAGGAGTCACATTACATTATTAATATACGAAAGTACTTAAGGAAATTCCCGGTTCAATTTTCCTCCGTGGTCTGACACTGTCACATTTTTAATTACGTGTTTATTTTCGTGATATACACACATTCCAATGTATATAATGATATATATACACATGGTTTTATCTAAATACAAAACAAAAAACTAAGCCGTAATCAAAAACATTTACGAAAACTATAGATGTTTTTTTTTTCAAAATGACCGAAAGTAGCAGTTTTCACCATTGTGGGCAGAAACCACACAAGCAATTACTACACGGTAGAAGTAGTTATAATTGTTGCTGTTGCCGCGACTCAGCACAACCTATCTTCAGGGCTGGGTTCGGTAAAGGGGCGGCTGTAACCCCTCCCCTCCCCCACAAAAAAAAGAAGAAATGTATTCATCAATATATAAATACTGTGTATTACAAATATGTTTTTTTTTTCATATATAACTTAAGATTATTATATATTACAGCTTTATGTATAGTTACGCATAGATTAGGTTAGGTGTTTAGGTTCTGTTAGAAGTACATGGGTGAAGCATGGTAACCCGTCCTCACACTAGGGTGGTTAAAACAGCGGCCGTCCTCCCTAGACGCATTCATCAATTTTAACATACTGTGTATTAAAAATTAGTTTGTTCTCATATATAAATTAATATTCATATACATAAAAATTCGATGTATAGTTAGACATAGGTTAGGTTAGGTGTTTAGGTTCTGTTGGTGATTATTTGTATTTGTAGTACGTGGGTGAAGCATTTACAGCGTTGTGGTTCGAACAAAATTCGTCAGTGAAGTACTCGTTCCGGAAGTGTTCGAACGAAATCAGTTG